AATCAATCAACTTTAAGAGGGCCTTAAAACTTAACAATTAGCAGCCCTACGTTGACATATCAAACATAGTCAAGCACTCAAAGAGCTTAGACTTTGACTTAGCTGGAAAGGTAACCTATCTCAAGCGATAGAGTCGTTCTGCAATCCCAACATTCTTCCTAATTGGCTTAAGCTGCTTTAAATCTTTAACTTTAAGTGCAAAACATTTTCTATTCGAGCACGCCCACTCAACTGTTACGTAACTGTTAACTTGTCTCTTACATCATTCAGAGCAGATTCTCTGAAAGTAGAGGAAGCTGTCTGCATAGCTCAGATCGGGTTTGCAAGTGGCATGTAAGCTGCGCTCTCCTTAGAAGTTGACGTTGAGGCGCTCCACTTCTGCAGGGCAGCCGCAAATGGCAATGTTTATTAGCCATAATGATGCTGGGGCCCTGTCAACAGAGCGCAACAAACATGGCCAAAAGAAAATATGCTCCATTCGCTGTTATCTCTCTTTCCCTCTAACTTACTAGCTCTCTCCCTCTTTTTTGCTGCGCTGTCTGACCTGACATTATGTCCGAGTAACCAAATCCGGCGGGCAACTTTGAATAAACTACAAGTTTTGTGTGGCGCACGGTGCAAATAGCAAGCGGAATGAAAAAGAGGCAAGAAGAAGAAGAAGCGCGGCACAAGGTATCTCATCTAGTCTACGTCCGCAGCCCCATGAACTCTCTTACAGATGTCGCGTCGACAATTTTACTTGGCTATTTATAACTGTCGCGTCTGTAGACCTCGCCCCGTGCGCCATAAACATCTTTATTCAGTTCTGTCTATGTGTGTGTGTGTGTGTGTGTGTGTGTGTGTGTGTGTCTGAGGTAGGTGCACAACGTCAACAGCTGGCTAGGCAGCATCCTGTGCGTCCAGCTGCATGTCCTTGTCAGGCTAGCGCCCACCAATCACTCGACGCTCTCACAAATTGCGGTAATTTCTTGTTGTCGCCATCAGGCAGCAGCAAACAGTCGCTGAATTATAACCAAAGTGGCTAATTTGTCACGCAGAGCGCCTGGAGAAAGCCAAAGAGACAGAGCGAGAGAGGGAGAGACAGAGGGAGTGAGTGAGTGTGTGAAAGGGAGCATTACATGGGCAGACAGTGCCTTAAAGCTCTGTCTGTATAATTCGATCATCTGTTCAATTGCTTATGATGATACGCCTTAGCTAAGCTCGCTCTGTCTGCCTCTCTCTCTCTCTCTCTCTCTTTCTAACTCCCTACATCTCTGTACAATACGCAAAGCCAGATGATTTCCTTGATATCCTGTGCAAATATTTCTGAAACTTAAAAGGCAACTCACAAAGGACACACAGCATCGCTCCACATCGATTTGGCTCTTTATTGCTGTTTTATGGACCAAATACAAGTTGCGAGCATGCAAAAATATTGTGCTTGCCGCACAATGGACAATTGCTGGCTGGCGAGGCCATCATCGTCTCTGCTTCAAGAAAATATATGGATGTATATGCGCCCGAGTAGGAAATGCAAGCAAAATACTTATATTGAATTGACCGAGGCCAGAAGTTGTTGCTCAGCTCTGCCGCCTGCGCCTCCGCCCCGCCCAGGCTCTGGCTCTTGTTGCTGCTGTCTGTGTGCGAATGCCTCTCGTCTCTGGCAATTGGATTTGCGTATTCGGATAAACATTTCAATTGGCCGCACGCTTCATTACCCGCCCCCGCCCCGCTGCGGAATGCCAGGCCAATCCAGCTCGTTGTTGGCCAACTTTTTCAATCTGGCTGCCGTTGGCAACTGGCAACTGGCAACTGGCAATGGAGAATCAAAACGAAACGCAACGCAAAACTATTGAAAATTAATTTCGAAACAAATTTACAAAATGCAACCTGCAATTGTTGCTCTCTGCAGTTGGAATACTTTGGCCCAACTCCGTTTCTGATTCCGATTTCGACTCCACTGTTGCTGGTCCATAATGCCACGCGGATCTGACATGAGTTACTAAATTATGCAAATTAAAATATGCACACATAATTACAAATGTAAATCGCATTAATTTTACAACTCGAATAACTTTTCCAAAGTCGATATATGTAAATTTGTGGTTGCAAATATCACAGAATACTTTTTACCACTTCTTTTTGTGTGCACAATTCGAATCTGTTGACTCTTTTTTTTTTTCATTTAAATAATATTTCCGCTTTGCTAAGGTCTATGTGAGTTCATCAAATATTTCATAAGCATAGAACATGCATTTGGTATTTTAATGAGAAATTTCCTTTATGAATTCCATATTCATGGTAACTGACTGGCATTAAATGAGAGTAGAGCTCTTCTTATATATCAGGTAGTTATTTGAAAGTAATTTCAAAATCAAATACTCCATTTACCCACACAATTCATGGAGAGAGTATTAATTAGTCCGGCTTTGTTGACGCTCTCGCAATGCAAACACCAAATGACCGCAAATTATTTTTATAGTCGGGTTAATTGAGGTCCACAGCGCGGTTTTCATTTGATTAAGTTTAATAATTACAACTGCATTTAATTCACAAACATTTTCAATGCTGCCTCTAATTTGTGCCAGCTAAAATATAATTTAATGTCGCATACAAAACATTAGCTAAAATAAAACTTTTTAAATTAACTCTATAAACTTGATAAAAAGTAAAAAAATAAATAAATAAATAAAATTCAAAGAGTAATCCCAAAAAATAATTAGCATGACGATATATCGAGGAAAATACATACAAAATTTATTATGAAATTTATAATAAAATATCTTTTATTGGAGTCAAACTGTTAAATTTTAAACTGTATTAATTTTGAAAATATTTGAAATGTCCAAAGGTATTTTGTCCGATTAGTAAAAATTTAATAGGGGGCTTATGATCGCTGATTTGTGGCTGTTGGGCTCTACTTGGAGGTCATCATTTGTACAAACTCCTCGTAGCTGATCTTGCCGTCGGCATCGACATCATGCACGCGAATCATTTCCTCGCACTCGTCATCCTGCATTAGGATATCCAGATCCAGCATAACGCGCCGTAGCTGTTCAGGACCTATAAAGCCGGTGTTATCTCTGTCAAAGACGCGGAATGCCTCACGAATATCATCCTCGTCGGGATCAAATGTCATGCGCATCGTCATCGACTGCAGGAAGTTATCAAAGTCAATGAATCCGTTGCCATCCAAGTCCATCTCGTTAATCATCGACTGCAGCTCCTTCTCGGTAGCAGATTTTCCCAGAGCAGTGACCACCGTATCCAAATCCCTAATGGTGACACTTCTGCTCTCGTCCTTGACTAAAATGGCAAAGCCCCGCCTAAATTCGAACAACTCCTCTTCTGAGTACTCCATTGAAGACATGAATTAAAATTTAGTTACTTTGTTAATTTGTGTTCAAAATTATTTACTAAACTAGTCCGATGTGCGTATAATTCGAGTGTAAAGCATAAACTGAGCTACAAAACAGGTCAAGTCATTCAATATTCATGGCCTGCTCAGGCTTTCATTTTAATCACATTTTTAATGGGCTAGTTTACACGCGGAATATATGGGTAGACAGTTTAGTCAGAGATGAAAATGTTCTGAGAGCTCTTTAAAATGCATTAAACAATCTATTTTTGGCTATCAGCCGTGTAATATCCTCTGTAATAGTCTCTGAGATATCGTCTTAGTAAGGATTTATAAGGGTGAAAGGCTTGCTAGTAAGCAATGAATGACTCTCTCCAAAATCTACTCAAATCGCCTTATAAAGTCTTAGGTAAGAAGAAAAAGCACATTTAATATTTAAATCGTTAAAAAATGGAACATTGCAAAAATGGCTGCTTGTGTCCCATGATGAAATATATTTATTAATTAATAGAGTTTTTGTTTACAAGTTTTGAATTACTTAAAAGAGGCCTATTGGCTCTAGGAATATAAATTAAAAATATACTTAGCTGAAATCGTTTGGCTTAGGACACATTATTAGAATTATTTTAATGTGCTGAGGTGTACATAACTCATCAGAATTTTCAGATTGAACATATTTGTAAAAATTAATAATCACCATATACATAAGTATTGACAGTTCCGGATAAATCTATCTATTAGATAAAACATATTTTAAATATTAACATAATTTTAATTTTAAATTATTTTAGCTACAAGTGCAAAAATGAGTATAATTTATTTAAACGTTTGCCAGCATAAAAATATAGATTTCTTGTAAAATAATTTTTTTTGCATATTTTAACATTTTTTTTTTATTATAAATAAAATTTTTATAAAAACTATAATTAATATAAAGCCCCTTACAAATATTTTCAAGCCTATTTTATTATATATTTTTCCAGTAACTAAATTATGTTTGACTGCTAAAGCAATTACTGCGTTGTGGCTGCATCTTTGACCGGCTCAGCAGCGCATGCACGTGAATATTTTTCAATATTTTTCTCAATTTTTTTGTTTGCGACTTTTCCATTGATATATTAGTTACAGTTGCTGCCCTCGGACTTTTCTTTTGTCTTTGGATATTTTAACGCGAAATGCAAACGCAACAGCAACAACTACAGCTACAGCAACAGCTACAACTGCAGCAACGGCAGCAACAAATTTTGGCCGCATGCTGCGGTCAGCCGCACGCATCAACAGCCAGGCCCATGGGCCAGACCAGCTGCCAGTTGCCAACAACAATAACCGAAACAGCAGCAACAGGAACAATGAAGGAGTAAAATAAAAAGAGCAAATTTGGTTGGCCAGGCGAAAGTTATTTACTGCAAATCGGTCGACTGAAACACAGATCGCTGCTGACGACGCGACAGCTCGCAACTGGCAACTGGCAACATTTGGTTAGCTGGGCTTTAAACGTGCTATTCAATTAAAATTGCAAAATATTTCTTTAAACTAACGACAGCCAGGTAAAACTTTTCAGCTTCAACTTCAATCGAATTGAGCCAATTAGACGACTCCGCTTAATCGCAATGTTTGATTACCTTTTTGGAGTTAGCAAACATAACTTTTGCTCTAACTGCAATTCATAGAAACTTTTTTGTTTTTGGCTTTTGGCTTTTGGCTTTTGCCAAAGCTTTAATTAATAATTGAAACAATAGATCAAACACATTTTTAGCTAACGGCGAAAAATTTGCTACTGAAAAGCTAATTTGCAAAGCAAAAGTTTTTTATTCAAACGAAATTTGATCAATGCATTGATTGCAATGTTAAAAATTTCGTTTAGAATTATGTTTCTGAAAAGATGCAATATTTCACAAAAAAAAATTTGACTTATCTTTTTAAGCGGAAAAATTGTACATTAGATAACATTAAATAACTTCTAGATACAACACGTAAACGTACAGAGCATCAACATCATAAATTGATTGATTGAGAGCAAATTAAGATAGAGTTTTTATAAACCTGTATGAATAATCATATTAAATTATATTATTTGCCTTTGTCTATTTGTCAGAATGATATAATTTTTGTATATTATATTCTTATAGTAAGTAAATATATTAACTAATTCGCTTAAGATCTATAAGTGAAATCTCAAATAATAAATTAATTCACGAATTTATATGAATATATTATCAAACCAATTATCATGTTTTCTATTCACACCATCGTGAAAGAAGAAAGAATCTAAGAGAGAATTTGAGCTGGAGTAAGTCCAGGCCATCGCCTAGTTTTGATAACTCCTATTTATACTGCTATCATGCCAATGCAAGTAAAATATTATATACACTCCCTGTCCCAATTTCCAGTGCTCAGAGTCAACTAAATAGCTCTTCAAGCTTTACAGTTGTTGTTGTTGCCCAGTTAAGCGGAGAATTGTGTGTGCTTTGGCAAAATATATTCTTCCCGTGGCTATCTGAGCCGTATTAACTGCTTCAATTGCCAGCTCTTCAACTGTGTAAACGAGTGTGTGTGTGTGTGTGTGTGTGTGTGTGTGTGTGTGTGTGTGTGTGTGTGTGTG